ATCCATCCTTCTGGTTACAATTTATTGTCACCACCTACAGAAGGTCTTCCCTAAACACCCCCTTTCTTGGCCAAAGTCAGGGTTAGCTGGCCTTTGTGCTCCTGCAGCCTCTGTCCCTCCCCTGCCATAGCACTGTCTCATTGTACTGAGCTAGGTCTGTCCCCTGGTCAGCTCCGAGTAGAGGGCAAGGCCTACCCCACAGCCAGGCCCCCAGCCTGGCACAGAGCCCACAGTCCGGTTGCACCTCATGTGAATTCTAATTTGAATTTAAAGGAGAACCATATAAAAGCATCTATGTAGTTCATGCCTGTAATCCCAACAGTTTGGGAGGCCGAGGTAGGAGGATCTCTTGAGACAAGGACTTTGAGACCAGTCTCTATAACAAATTTTAAAACATTAGCCAGGTGTGGTGGTGTGTGCCTATGGTCCCAGCTACTTGGGATGTTTAGGCAGGAAGATTGCTTGGGCCCTGGATGTCGAGGCTACAGTGGGCCATGTTTGCCTTATTGCACTCTGGCCTGGGTGACAGAGTGAGACCCTGTCTCTAAAAAAAACAAAAAAACAAAACCAAAAAAACCTATGAGCCAAATTTGGCATAATGTAGATTTCCATCATTAAAACAAAAGTCACAGAAAACAGCAAGATTTCAAAGCCAGCATGCAGTGATTAAGATGCCCATTTGGAGCTGGGTTCCTGCTTTGCCTCCGCAGGCTGCGTGACCTGGTGCTTAACGCTGTTACCACATGGTGGCGCCACATCAGCTGAGAGCAGAAATAGAATGGTCTCCGTTCTCCACCAGTGCCTGGCGAGGTGTCTGTTTACATGCATCAGAACACCTGCACTGGGTTTTGAGGACTCTTGTATTGCTATTTTATAACTCACTATTGTAATAATTTAAAAATCATTTTAAAATAATATTTTAAAAACTCTCCAACATGTCATCCACCCCTTCATTAGGAGGTAACAGCACCAGGGCTGAAAAATGTGCCTTAAAGTTGGTAACTTTGGTGTGCAACGTCCGCGTGAGAGGCAACCAAGTGGCCGCCTCTCTGAGGCTGAGCCGTCAATTTTGGGGTGACCCCTCTTTGGGATTTGAGAGATCAGGATGACAAGGCAGAAACAAATGATAATATGCTGCAGTGGTGGTGGATTTTCTGTGTGGAGGGAACATCTCCTCCTACTGTATGTTTATTCTTGTGGGGAATGAGTCCTGCCTTACGGGGAATTTTGCATTAATGAGGCTCTCTAAGAACCGAGGCTCTCTAAGAACCAAGCCGTGCATAAAATGCAGAACACCGTAGGCAAGGCCTTCACATCAGATTTGTGGACTGAGGCTGACACAGGAATGGAGCTGCCTTAGCGCCCCTGCCTGACCCCCTCTTTGCTTTCCCCCACAGCCCCTGCTCTGATTCTGTTGTCTCTTCTCAGCCTCTCTGCTCACCCTGTCTCCTCTGGCCATTCTTACAGCATCCCCTGCTTAGGCATCCCCCCGCCCCCGCAGGCTGCCAGGCAGACCCAGCCTCAGGACTCCTTGCTGTGCTGCTTCACATCATTCCCAGACACCTGGGGCAGATTCTGGAATCTCTATCAAGAAAACAACAAGAAGCGATGAACCGAGAAATCTAGAGAAAAACATGGCTGTCACAGATGAAAGAGGCCCCCCTTTGCAGGCTGGGGGCCCCTATGAGAAGCAGAAGGATAGTTGAGAGGCGAAAAAGTATGGGGCAGAAATCTGCGCCCCTCATCAGCTGGGAGAATGCCAATTACCAATCGTTTCTGAGCTTTAGCTGTGTGGGGTAAGAAGTCAATAGATTTTGGTGTTATTATTATGGGGTTGCCAGAACCACCTCTGTCCCTGCCAGATGGGCCCCCAGCTCCTCTGGGTGAACCGTGACTTCCCTCAGTCACATAGATCCAGCCATGCAAACCTGCCTGTGTTGCAGCCAGCACTTGCTGTCTCTCTCACCAGGACCGTTCTCCCTGATGGTATCAGGGCCTGGATCACAGTCACCTTTTCTGGGAGTGTTTTCCCAGGGGACCCTCTGTACCACTCCTACTCCAACTTCGACCTATTTTTAAAAAAACAAAAATGATCTCTTTTTTCCTACAGTATAATACGCACCTAGCGTTAAAATATAGTATAAGTACGATAGGGTGCATCGCCGCCGCTATACTTATATTGTTTTTGTTTTTGCGAACTAGTCTCATCTCACCCAGCTGGATGCATAGTACGCAAGAGATCATCGGCTCATATAGCAAACTCCGCGCCTCCCGGGTTCACCCGCCACTCTCCTCCTCAGCTCCCGGACCGTAACCTGGGTCAGGAAGGCCGCCACCTGGTGCCCGACTAAGGATTTTGTATGTTAGATAATGACGGTTATCAACCGAGTTAAGCCAATCGTGTCCCGAATTCTCCTGACTTATATCTGCACCGCCATCGGCCTCCCAATAGTTGCTGAAGGAATTACAGGCCTCAGTCTCATCGCACCCCATGATATTTTAATATGATTAAACCAAAGCTCTTGTTACGTCCTTCCTTTCCTTAGGGTAGCCCTCTGTGCTCCACCTACCATCACCCACCATGAGCCCTACTGGGCAAAGACCCATCCTGAAGACCTCCCTCAGTGCCCACCTGATCATGGCGCTGACGAGCGATCTGGGGGCACCAACCTGCAGATCTCTCTGTGTCCAGAAGAGAACTGCAGCTGGCAGGCCTTTGGGGAGTCCCTAATCGTTTATTTTATTT